ACTTGATGCTTTGCTAAAGGTATCTATTTTGGTGTTTGAACATCTTAACACGTGTTAGGATGTTCAAACACCCAAAAAACTAGTAAGAGTTGTCACGTAAACAGAACATGCCAATTCGTCACTAGTACAGCACACTGGTCTGTTGGAGAGCCAAGCCACAACATTTACAAACAGAGTACGACGTTTCGCCAGTAGTTACAACTAGCTTTATCAGGCGACAGACAGATTTGTGGAGAAATCTTTCTGTTTCGTTCCTTATATAGAGGCGTAGATGTGTTGACCACCCTTCTCCACTACACATTGAAAAAAATCAGCAACTAACTTTGAAATACAACTTGATAATCAGCATCATTATTACTGTTATGTTTATAAGTCATTATGAAGGCAGGATCAGCACCATAAAGTATTTGTAAGTATCAGGATTACTCGTCGAGGATAGTATTCTGCATGGCACGATATTTTGTTTTGTTTGATTCTTTAACATACCTGTCAACCCCTTATCAGTGCCTACTTAATTACAGACCAATTCAGACCTTATTGGTCACACCGTGCCCATTATAAATCTCAACCTTAATCCTACAAAGTCCCATCACAAGTGAGAACCACAAATTTACAAAAAATGGGCTCGTATTCAAACGGCTGTACACCGTATGGACCTGAAAACTCAATTTCCCTGTACAAGAATACGGGTAAACCATATGGGTTGACAGGTATGCTTTTTACATGTTCAAAATTCAACAACATATTTAATAACGCATTTAATATATCCTCAATTGTTGACAATATACCAAATAAATAAAAGCAACAAATATCATGCCATAATTCTGGACTTATAGACACATTGATTATTGGGTATGTGTATTGCTTGGGTAAAACGTGGGTACACTATTGCTTCTAACTTGACTGGAGTGCAATAGAATGGATCTTGAAATAAGAAAACCCTTCACTTGCCGCTGTGTGAGTGTTGAGGGCCGTTTATAATGGACGTCCACTGAAATGTAATTACTATATGTAGTGCAGCAATTAATTTTTTTTTAAACATATGTAGTGACTGACTCAGAGACACTAAGAGTAGGAGGCACTCTGTTTATTAACACGGCCTTAACAGTTCACACTTGGTAACTACGGCTACCAGTCAGGACAGCTGGTAGACTGCCTGACTGGCGACACCGAGATGGTGAAGATAGAGACGGCAAAGACTCCAGTAGCACGACGGGATCCCACTCCAAACGACAGCCCCGAGCTCCCCTCCCGAGGCCCCTCTTATATTTCCAGCGTGGCCTGGCTCCACCCCCGGCCACGCCCCCTTCTGGAACCTACTAGCGGAAACTCGATGTGCCCCTCCCGTAAACTTTCCCCTAGATCCCGCCCTGGTCTATCACGTGGCCTGCTGTCAGTCAGGGCTGCTGTAAGCTGCAGATCCCCTTCCCTGCCAGCAGCCAGCGCTATGCTGCTACGTGACCGATTCTATAAAGAACTAGCTGTACTACCCGGCTTCGCCCAGGTCTTGGATCCACGACGCTAGGCCGTCTTTGTCTCCCCAGTGGCGATGTTCATACGCCACAGCAGTTATTCGTTTTGAGGCTGAGTCGACCTAGGGGAGGCCCAGGACCGGTTCAAATAATCGTCACCGGTGGTGGCCGTGAGCGGGAATGGAACTCGGGTCGCCGGGTTCGTAGCGTGGCGCGCTAACCACGACACTACAATGCGTTACGCTTCCGTTGTAGGGTTTGTGTGAGGCGCGCCGATCCGCTGTAGGGTTTTAGTGAGGCGCGCCGATCCGTTGTAGCGCTACAATAATACTGTCGAATCGCTATAATTTAATAATCGACCGACCCTATAATAGTAATTGCACACATTGTGGTGGGGGGGAGTGAAGAGGACGTGAAACTTTGTGTTAATGCGTGCGCCTATTTTTAACGGGAATAAAAATGGCGTCCACCCCGCGGCGAAGGCGTCGCTACTCGTTGCCAGGGGCAACCGCCGTCCAATGAAAGCGGCGAAGGCGTCGCTACCCGTTGCCAGGGGCAACCGCCGTCCAATGAAAGTGCGTATGGTCCGGCGACACACAGACACACATACAAACAGACAGATTCACGATTTTATATATATAGATTGTCAAGAATTAATCATGCCTATGGCTAAAAAACTAAATGGTATATAACTACGTATCACTCAGCTACGATAGCTCTAGGCATAATGCACCATTCAACTCTTTCAAATATTCATAAAACATTTAATTTGTAAATTACACGAAAAAAACTTAATCACAGAATAATTATGCAGGCCAGAAACCCATAGATTTTTCAAACAGAATTGTTGTTATTATGAATTAGTTATGAATTGAAATGAACTTATGAGACCAAGAAGGTTGACAACAGTCAGTGTTTTTCCTGCTTAAACAAAAACGGTTAAGAAATATCCTTGCTATAGCTTCATAGGTCATAGCTGATTGTCTGCTTAATGCATAGCAACGTTCTGAGTATTGGTTAGCATTAAAAGCAAGTCGGCTCTGACCCCTAGTGGGGTACCAGAACTTTACACCTAAACCTCACTCCAGCAGGGACGGAGCTTTTGCCAACTACGGTGCATCAGCAGATCCAAAATATTTAATTGTTCACAAATTCATAAAGTTGCACAGCAATGTATGTGACTGTATGTATATTGAACTTCTTTCACACCATACGTAGCCAACCATGCTAATCGGAGGTGTGTTGACCTCTGAACCCGAATGCACCCTTCCACTGCAAACTTAACCAACATTTGACCACACATAAGTATCCACCGCCCTGTATATAGTATATACAGGGCGGTGGATACTGTATATAGTATATACAGGGCGGTGGATATAGTATATACAGGGCGGTGGATGTGGCACAGTATATACTATATACTGTGCCACATGACTTCTCTCACCAAGATGCGCCTCTTCATAAATCTACTTCCACTCAATTAACCTTGAAAATGCAATGCCCTCATCAGCCATTAATAGGCAGCAATGAATGGACCCATCTGACAGGAAACCACCGAGGAGATGGAACGACGAATTCAACGTTATGTGCAAGGTGCCAGATGGTTCATCATATCACAAGATCGTGAGAGATGGTAATGGTTTGGGGGGTGGCGGGGGGGGGGGGTATTTTATCTAGCAGTGGATTGGTCATCGCTGATGATGATTACGGAGCATTGTCTTGGGATCCAGCACAACTGTAATCATCCATGGCATGACATATCAATAATCAATTAACGCATTCTTCTTCTTGGTTACTATGTGAGGAATAATGAGTATATAAAGTCGCTAAATACAAGTGCACCTCGGAAGATTGCACAAGGAAACCATATAAACATATACACTGCTCACACGCAAAACCAAGAATATAAAACAAATATTACAATATACGATATTTAAAATAATGAAACAACAACAAAAAACACACTGGACAGATTGCGAGTTGACATGACACACCACGCACAACCCATCTCAAAACATCGCAACACCCGAATGATGAATATGTATTCAGCGTGTAGATTTGCATGCATACTTTGAAGCGGGGAAACTAGGGCAAGAGGGGAGGGGGTGACGATAATAATGGACTGGCAAAGCAGAGAGATGGGGAAGTTGGAGACGGAGCTCTTAGGGAAGTAATTAGTTAACGGGCGAGGAGTGAAGGAATTAAGTCTGGACTTGAAGAGGGGAAGGGGATCAAGAGTGAGGAAAATCAGAGGGGAAAGAATTCCAAAAAGCAAATGCAAAAAAAGGAGATTTTAAAAAGTGCAGAGGCAGCAAAATTTTGTCCGTATTTTTAACAAAATCCATTCAAGTAACGTATTCTGTACAATTTTATTTTAAGTAAACGTTATGTCTCATGATCTTGTTTTTTTATCTATTTGTTTTTCTTCTAGGTAGCTACAGTTGCAGGTACACATCTTTGCATGTGTTATGCAATTTAAATGTTTGATCATTTGCACTGCCAGCCAGTGACACTTTTTCTAATCTACACATCACTGCTAGCATAACACAAACTGCATATTACGTAATGTATTTAATCGGCACCATCACAACTTGCACATAACGTTTCAAACATGCATGGCACGCTACTTTGTCATTGCAGGTAAAAAGGTGCTGGTGGAAGCGCCTCTGATAGAGAGACCCCCTCTAGAGCAGCAGTCCCCAACCTTTTTGGCACCAGGGACCGGTTTCGTTGAAGACAATTTTTTCACGGACCGGGGGGGTTCATCATTGGATCTTTCCCCCTTTCCAAAGAAGTTCTCCAGCGACGTTTGTTTTTTACTCATTTTGGCTAGGGTTAGCTTGTGGGCTTACCAAAACTGTGACTGAAACAAGTGCACAGTGCGGGAAAGAGGCGCGGACGGAAGTGGTAAATAAAATCATGTGCGGGCCACGCGCGGACTCACCGCTCACCTCCTGCTGTGCGGCCCGGTTCCTAACAGGTTGGGGACCCCCTGCTCTGGAGGATATGTGGCCAATCTTCCACGTTGATCAAAACGTATTTGAAGAGGTAGGCGTACCCACATTCTATCCCATCAACGCGCGACCTGCCGATCGACTAAGCACGGTGCACCCATTTATCGTGTTCGGTGGACATAGACGGTGTGAGTGAGGGATTCAAGAAACTTTCCAAATTGTTTCAAAGGCCGAGACGGAAGATTGACCCGGTGACCTTTGGCTTGCAAATTCAGTGTGCTGACCATTACACCGCGGCAGCTATTGTGTGAAGTCGCCTGGCAATTCTTAAAACGCAATGAGATTATTCCTCGTGACACAATGCGTGGCCGAGTGAGAAATGAACAAAAACTCAACACATTTTTCAAGAACACTGTTGCATGACAAAGAAAAGCATAACAAAGGTTAAGTTTTGGGCAATGACCCTCCTGCATAGCACGTTGACGAATATTTTGAGTTCTTTGTTATTCACGCTTGTGCATCACTGCCAACGAAGCATTACGAAATTATTTGCGATACAATCGGTGGTACCTACCATCCAATAGAGGGTGCTGTTGGCAAAGTCTGTGTACAGCTCGATGGTGGACAGCACGCTGAATATAAGGCAGATGAGCACCATCATGAACCTACGGGATGCAATCAACGACAATACACAAACAGTTGAGCACAATGAATATGAGCGAATTCGAGGCGTGTGTCATTCATTATTGGGGAGTAACAACATTTAAGAGAACAATGTGTCTAAAGAGAAGAACGTTTTGACAGTAGATCGTAAACGCGGACGACGGCGGTAAAAAAAATATAACAAAAGCTGAGAAGTGTACATAGCATGGAGTGGTACATAGAGTGGTAACATGTTTAAATTGACACCAAGATACAGAAAGAGGAATATGTTAACCTGAGAACAAACGTACGGTCCAGTGTGAAATAAGTTCAACATACATGCATACAAAAATGAGAGACATTAACTGAGGAAAAGTTACTTAAAATACTAATAATCATTCGCGTTGTTGTCAAGATCATATATAATGAAAAAATAAAGACATAGATAATGTCTCCTTCACAAATCCATTTATCCACGTAAAAAATAGAAAAATATGTTTTACACGACCCATCAGCTACACGGTTGTGTAAGAAATGCGTGTGGTTTTTTTTCCACTGAGAGATTAATATGTGACTAAGGCATTAATGTCTGCTCATTTACTTTAAGAAAAGCAAAGCGGGCTTGTGCAGAACACATCGCTGGAAAGGATGGTGGGCAATGGTTGAGGCTGACTATGAAGTGGCAGCCAAGGGGGGTGGAGAGTTTACCCCCCCCCCCCAATCTGACAGGGTGACCACTGCGGAGATTGAACGAAGAGATCAATCAGTTCATTGCAGGAGCTAGACTAAATTTCTGCATCATGAGGGATGGCGATGGCTTGGGGAGGGCCTTGGCCCAGCAGTGGAGAGAACATGGCTGATGCTGATATTGAAATGCATTTCACAAATGTGATTTGTTATTAATACAATTAGTGACATTTTAGCCTAAGATAATGAACAACCTTGTGTATATGTATATTAATAATATCAACGCCCAACTTTATCTGTGATGAATATGATGAACGCTGCACTTCCCGTCGTTTTCATGCAGGGAGCGCTGCAAACCTACATGCCCCGTGCATGAACGACGGAGGAGCAGGGACAGACGTTCCATTACGGTGGAATCGATCTATAGAGGGTGGTCTTCTCGCACGGCCAGCAGCTCCATGTTGCCTTATCTCGATCCCACAAACCCAAACAGGTGAAAATCCGCATCGAACCGAACCCCCAGCAAGGACATCTACTTAACGAGAGAAAATTCGCACGAAATGTCGTTTTCAATTAAGTCTTCCAGATGTAAAATGATATTTATATTATAAAAAAAAACTTTCTCTATCTGTCTATGATGAACGCTTGAGAGAGAGAACGAGGCGATTCGGTGTTGATTCCCAGAATAGACTTGGTTCCCACCGACACGACTTTGCCATTTGTTTTGCGACGACGACAATTTCCCATTCTCCCCGCATATGCTATCACAATCAACAAGTCGCAGGGACAGACGTTCCATTGCGTTGGTAAGCGCACAACTTTATCTTTCAATGATGAATACGAGGTTGTTGGGGGGCGACGCAGGCGCCCCCAAACAACAAAGTTTATATATTTGGGTGTTTAAAGTGTGCTGTTTTTCTCGATTAAAAAAGAGGCCTATAATTATATTAGTCCTCCACTCTACACCCTGCAAACAAGCTCTCTGACATTTTGACCCCTGACAATGTCAAGCATTTTCAGTGTCACTTCCAAGATAAAGCCATATTATATTAATGTTACTTCTGTGTAACAGCGGCATACCCATGTCTCTCACAGCAACATTCACTTGCCATAAGTAACACACTCCAATTGCAATAAATGCAGAACTGAGCCTCGCTTTACTGCTACGTCACTGCAGCATTATCTGCTCGTCTGCATTGAACAAAAACAAATATGACACATTGAGAAAAACTAATCTACGCATAAATTAACGTGCATGAATAATAATTAGTGCGAAATGTGCAATTCATTTATTCTTGTCCGATTCGTGGATGGAATTGTCAATGCAGTGGTGGGCTTGCAGCTGTAGCAGGGAGGGGAGCTAATAAATAATGTAACTGGAAAAACGGTGGCTTTGGCCAATTGTGAGGAGCTAATGCATGAGTGAGTGAATACATACGGCTCAATGGGCAGACCCCAACAGTTAAAGGCCTTACACCCTGTTCCCCAATTGGCTACCCCTACCATGCAATGTGCAGAGGTCTCAAAAAAAGGCGCCCCACATATAATGGAGTGGTTTTTTTTGGGACTCTTAGAAATTGGGAAAAATGGAAATTGCACTTCTTAAGCTCAAAATTGTAATAGTGTACTCAGCAATGCTGACGTGCTGTTAGATGCTGCATCTCCATGCTACACAGAAATATTGCATGCCAGGCAGTCCTTGTTGAGTGCTGTAACACGAGATTATGCATGCCAGAATTGGCCTGATATTTTTACAGGCCAAGTAAGTTCGAATAATATTTTACGTTATCTTTTTTAACCTTTATATTATGCTAACTGTATTTTTATACAGTCATATGAATTGTTGAGCACTCTAGAATAACGTTACCAACATGAACTAGGCTAAATTTGCACTTCGTGGAATTAATGTGGTTTTAATAAATACACGGATATCATGCTGGGGGTCTCCTGCCTCACCACTGAATGAGCCCGGTATCTAGGGGACACACTGTGTCCAAACCTCAGTCTTGAACAGATACAAGACATGGACAATTCCTACAGAGAATATAGCTCCATACAGCAAGGGAGGCTTGCGTTGTACAATTGTATCTACTGCAGTGTTGAACATTTTCAATTGATTACTCTGCTGTGATTAAAGACAATACTTTTCAATTTAAGTTATATCATAAATACAATTAATCATCATTTACAACACTTTGTTAATCCACTGCTAGATTGAAGGCCTTCCCATAATGTCAGTGATGGGGGTTGGCTTACCATACTTCACCACACTTGTCAGTGAGCATCAGTGAAGACGAACCAATACGGTTTCTACAGCATTGAGCAATTCGTGAAAATTCGACATTCTCATCGCGAGCGCCAGGAAGCACCCAGTAAACATGCCAACACTCGGCTAACAGCATGTGGTTTGAACTATTGGACAAACATTGATCCAACGTCACACGTTTACTGGGCCAATACATGTGTTACTTTTCCTTGTTTAGTGAACCATTTGTTCATGATACACTTATGGAAGGTTACCATCTGAAAGAAATTTGGGCCGTGTCATTCTACAAAGTTAAACAAAGTGCACTGTTTTCCATTTGAATGCAGCAGATAAAAAAATACATCACCAATGTCACCATTGACCGAAATAACAATTGGAGATGCGATATCAAAAAACATCACAATTGAGGAAAAGGAAGAAATCAGAAATCACTAGGGGACTCTTTATATTTAGATGTCTTTTCCACGAAGAATGATTATTTTATATAAAAAAAAAATACTTCCAGTTTTCCCTTGCCAGTGACAATTTTTTGGTTCGTTAAATAGCCGGACACGCCATGACGTGAAGCGGCAACTGTTGGGTGCCCTTTATTGTCGAGCTCGGCGAGAAAAGGGTGGCCTGGGAGGTCTGTTCTGATGTCCTTGCCCTGGCAGGTGAGGCGTTTGTGGATGTCTGACAAAGGAAGCCCGCTTAAACACAAACAGCGAAACGAACAACTTGTCAAAGGTTGCATCAGTACCCAAGGCTAAAAAACAACACAAAGTGCTATATTTATCCAAGAAGAGTTTTGCAGCCCATGCCATTATGTAAATAAATTAAATACAAAGTATTCACTTTTATTTTAAACAAAATGAAGTAGCAAAGGTTACAAGGTTGCAAATCAATTGTGATGCTACGAAATAAATGAAGATACTCCACTCTAAGGATGCTGTTATGGTGCAATGGTTGCACAACAGACTTACAAATCGAGAGGTTTCCGTCTGTCTCCTCGACAGACCTGTTCTCCACCTGTGGACGGCTACTTGCGTTGTGGCCGAAACGTCGTGAGAATTATTTTATTATGTTTTATTTTTATTATTTTATTATTTCCATTCTACGTGACTTTACCGAAAGAACCAAGAAGATGAATCCCTGCAGTCACGAAAGTTTTAAATCGAAATTTAGGTTTCCGGTTCGTTAAATAAGTGGGCAACTTACTTAAATCCCAGAATCTGTCCACCCAGCATTAGTATTAACCACTGGGCGCACCAAAGTTCGTCTGTAGGCAGGAAGTGTGCGGTGGGTTAACACGTAGGCACTTTCACCTTCAACCCAGTGTGACTCGCTGTGGGAGTGTAGGCCAGATTTTCTCGAGTGGGGCTCTCTAGAGATCTCCCTAGTGGAGGCCCGACTACCAACAGTGATGTAAGCAAGCTATTGCGGGGCTGCACCTTGACTACACTTAATGTTTTGGCTTTCATTTGTATGTAAAACCTAAACCAAACACAGTCTTGAGCGTGGACTACTGTATTTGTTATTTTAATCCAAGGCCAACATTTGAATTACATTACTTGTTAGGTTGGCGTATTAGTTCAAGTCCTTCACGATAATCCGTATAGTAATACTGCACTGGCTACTTGTAGCAGCTGCTTTTCTCGTTAATCATCGCAAACAAAGTGACGCGTTACCTCGTTTGTGCATTGTGCACCTGCAAAGCGTATGTCTGTATAAAGCAAACACCATGAAGCAAATTAATCATACCTTCCCATGTTTCACGTAAGAATACAAGTTACATTTACACCGATATGCTGCACTGTCGGAGCTAAGGCGATATTAGCCTACACTGTTACGGGCATTTAAAAATATTCATCTTACAAAGCAAGAGCAAAATAGCCCAGCTATGATTTAAATTGTATTCTCTCTTTTAGGTCAACCTTCGGCATTATTTAAACGTGTTGTAAAATTATCGTTATCATCAGTCATTGGCAATCCATTCCACCTTCGATGTTATAATCCACCTAATATAACCAATCTCAACTGCCTTCCAGAGAGGATGTTCACCAAAAGCTGATGGAGTGAAGAAATGTATGG